TTGTACAAGAATGCTTGCTACTAACACCGGCTATGCAAGCTACCTAACCATCAGGCACTGCGCTCCTTGTTTCAAGCTCTTCACTGACAAAGCTCAACAGTGCCTGTCAAAAGTACATATAAACAAGGCAAGGAGTACATTTCATTTCAGTTCTGGAATTTCAAATGGCTTACATAAGTGAGAATTGAATCAGGGAAAGGCCTTTGCATTCAGAGGTAGGCTCTAAGAGCTCTTTGATTTTAGGTTTGGAACTGATAAAAACACGGTTTTTGATGTTACACGACCTTCCTGTTTCGCATAATCGAACTCAAATCACATTGGATGGCTTAATCCACATAAAGAAATTCCACAATTGCTCTGAAGATCTTTCGCAGCTCTCCTGCAACCAGAGTCCTTTTGATCTTATTCGCAGCCTATTGTGATCTGTCATCCAAACACCTGTGCAGGGCTGCGAGAACTCAACCTAGCAGCACTGAGTTGTGTAAAAGACTCGGCTTTTGTCTTGGGCAACCTTTATCAGATTCAATCAGGCAACAAGAAGTTTACAACGTGGAGAGGCTTAATTCAAAATGTGTAAATCCATTGGAGCAATGCAGTTCATGTAGAATCAACAGAGAGGCTTCCACGGTCTTTTACTTCATCTAGTATGCAGGAAACGTCATTTAAGATTGAGATAGAAAAGGAGTGAAAGGAGGAAATGTGTCACTTGGTTTTCCTCATTTTTTTTTGTTTAAGAAAGAATGCAGTTGTAGCAAATATACCCAGAATTCTTTAAAGTAACTTGTATAACTAGAATAGCCCGTAAGCCACACATATGGACCTATTTTGTTATACAAAAAGGAATTCCTTATTATCCAAAGGTTAGCTCGTGTCAATCATCATTCACTGGGACTTTGATTAAATTTCATCACACCTGCACGTGTGATGTTTCTTGTCATTATCATTATCTAAAAATTTTGCGGATCTGTTACCTTGATATATTCAATATTTTGTCATTATCAACTGCATTAGCATTATCATTATCACTATCATTTGTTACCTGACATCAGTAAATGGGAATGGTCAGAGTTATAAACATAATGAGTTTACTGTAGAAGTGCCCATCAACAAACTTTATGATCATTTTAAGAACTTACATTTGGAACCAAAACCCTCTTCCTTGTTTGCATCCCATATATCTGTTGTAAAAAAGAAATCAGCCCTAGAACAACAGAAAGATACTTACAACATTTAGATGACCCTTTTTCTTTACATGAAATTGAAACCACAATAAAACTAGTAAAATCTGGAAAAGCCCCTGGCCCCGAGAGAATACAAAACGAAATGCTTAAAACGGGCTCCCCCCCACTTAAAAACTGCAAGTTACAAACTCTTAAACCTTATTATCACTGGCGTTTTTTCTCCTGTGGCTGGTGCAAGGGTATTTTAACTCCCATATTCAAATCAGGAGACAAACAGGATCCTTCAAATTATAGGGGGAATCTGCATTAACAGTTGTCTTGGAAAACTCTTCTCCGCTGTACTCAATAATAGACTGAAAAATTAGGTGCACGATCAACATGTTTCACACTATGCTCAAATTGGCTTCATTCCTAATCATCGCACAACTGATCATATCTTTACCCTCCGAACTTTAATCAACAAAGAGGTCACTCATACAACCAATGGTAAGCTTTAGCTATGTTTCATGGACTTTAAAAAAAGGCTTATGATTCAATATGGCACAACAATCTACTCTACAAATTACTCAGATCCAAAATAGGAGGCAAATTTTATGACCTGATTAAAACTCTTTGTTCAAAAACAAAAACAAGGCTGCATCCGTTCTTCTCCTATGTTTTTCAATCTCTATTGAAATTAAATCCCTTTTCTTCTCAATAAACAAGACACAGATCCTGTAGTAGTGCCAAGTGGTTCTTCTTTAAATTGTCTACTACATGCAGATGATCTAACACTTATATCTTGCTCAGCTGCTGGGCTACAGAATGCATTGTCCATACTCTCTCAATTCTGTCATGACTGGATGATGAAAGCTAATACAAAAAAACAAAAGGTATCACTTTCCTAAAGAAATATGAGAATCTACCCTTGCAAAACATCTTTTCTACATCAATAAAGGTATAATTGAAATTGCCGATAGTTACACTTATCTTGGGGTCAGGTTTTTTAAAGAAAACAAAGTGATCTTAAAGGAGAAAACCAGAAGATCAATTTTTGCAACTTGTTGTTACCTTGATTCTCCTAAATTGCCAGTCAATGTTATCAACAAAATATTTAATTCATTATATCTTTCAGTTCTAATGTATGGTTCTGAGGTTTGGAACATTTACAACAAAGATTATTACAACTCATGGGAAAAAGATATAATTGAAACGACACATCTATATTTCTGTAAACAAGATCTAGGTGTTAAGAAATAATGTTCAGATGCGGCCTGTAGAAATGAACTTGGTCGGTTGCCTCTAAAAGAAATAACCAACATAAATGTTCTTTAATTTGGGATACACTTAGAAAACCAGGCGGAAGACAGTATTGCAAAACAATGTTTACAAAGTTTAATATCAAGGGACCTGGCTAACAAAAACAAGAAAAGCATTATGCCAACAGTTACTGACATCTGTAAGAAATCAAACTAAATACATTAAACTTAACTGAAAATAACTCCCCGTCATTTATTTTTCAAAGTTTGATAAACTCTCAACAAAGAAAATGACTCAACATCAACTAAATTTGATAAAACATAACAAGGACTTCATGTTTTACTCAATGTTCAAAACTGATTTTCAAATGGCCGAGTTTTTGATTACAATAAACAATCCTTTGGATAAAAAAGCAATAAATAAATTTTGTCTTGGAAATCATGGATTACGGATTAATACCGGCAGACATACAATAGACCTTTCCTGCATTCCACTTTAGTGCATACGAACAATAGCTACAGAGCAAGGTTGTGGTGGACATTTTCATACATTTGCTGTATTTTTTGTCCACCCTGACCCCGACTTGGCACCATTGTTTGTTGGAATGTGGGAAAGGTCTATTGGTAAAACCCCAGAAAATATCACAATTTGTCCTTGCTGCATGAAGTTGAACGTGAATGCATTTTATACTTTCCTGACACCTTTAGGACAACTTATGCTCGAAGTAAATAGAAAATACAATCATTTTGATGTTCTAGGAGATAAATCAAAAATTCTTTTTTCTTTTTAATATTTTAAGGAAAACGACCAATTTTTTAAGTTTGCAAGACGTTTCGAAACATGTCTTGCAAACTTAAAAAATTGGTCGTTTTCCTTAAAATCTTTACATGTCTGCTGCTATCTAGATCTTTTTAATAACGTTGACCCCTTTATCTACAGTTTTTCGGAGACTCATTAGCGCTCGCTATGATTGCCTGCCAGACATCAGTAGTAATCGCGTGTGCACAAATGACACAAGTAACCCTAAGAAGAAACAAAAACCACTTCAGCACTTGAAAGATGTTAAATCACTTCGGTATACGTAGCAATAGTTTCAAACTCCATTCAAACATGTGTTTAAGCCTAGGGCCAAAAAAAAGTGACAAAAAAGCTTCATAAATAACCGGTAAAAGAGCTCTAATTTACTCTTGCTTTCTCGCGTGCGATACATGGCGTCACGTAAGCATGTAATCTAGTTAGTTACATTGTGTTCTTCGTTTACATGTGACATCATCATTTTCTAAATGCCAAAACTAAAGAGCCACCAAAGTTTTTATCCTCATCAGGCATGAGAGGGGGTAAAGTTATATCTGTTAACAACGTTTAAGCTCAACAGTTTGCTTCCTTTGGAAACAAGCACATTTTGAATTTCAGAGTTATGACATAAAGCTACAAGCGAGTTTGTCGAAAAATATTAATAAAGAATTGGTTCATGCTTGGCATGCATATATCGAGTTATGGATGCACTTGGGAAGTTTGGAGAGCATGAAAGAAGTGTAAGAGTTGCTCGAGGCAATACCCAAGAGCAACTCTAGCTTCTTCAGTGCTCTCCAAACTTCCCAAGTGCATCCATAACTTGATATATGCACAGCTAAAAGCATGAACCAATTCATTTATAACATGGCGACAACATATTGGGCGCTAAAACATGTTTTATTTGTGATTGACTACAAAGTTCTCACAATGCACTGTGAAGGAAAACGAAGATCATTAGGATCCTAACACGCAGTTGAGCAGCAGTTGAACGAAAACGCTTAACCTGGTTTCTAAAATTGTCAATGAAAAATTCGCTTCTCTGAATTAATTATAATAAAAATGTGGGTAAACAAAGTCAAAAAACTCAATGAAAATGTAGACAAACAAAGTCAAAATACTAAAGTTTAAGTAAACATCTTAGCTCAGCAAAAGTCAAAGGCTGGAAGTAGGGTTTGGATCGTTCAGAACAATCTTCACATTGCCGAAACTTAAACAAAAGGAACTTGCGCTAAACTCGATGGAAATTTTGCAGCTAAATTGAACTTGCACATGTCATGTTATATATACACACGGCTGTGCGCATATAGAGATTTCGTTCATGATGACTCGATAGGAATTAGGTATGACTAGCGCACACGCTATGTTTTAAAAGTAATCTCATGATTTTTAGCCCTTTTAGAAGTGAAAGTGATAGGAAAAGTGCTTATTTAAATGTTTGCTTGTTCAGTTCAGATGATCAGATGCCTAGATAGCCAAAGTAAGTTCCAGATGTGTACACCAACTTTGCGTCTCCATACTGGGCTCTACAAATTTGTGCAAAATATTTGGACAAAATCTGAAGTTTGGGAAAATGTAAAGACGTAAAACTTGGAGAAGTGTCTTCTTTATTTATCTCCTATAACATCATAATTTCTTGACTTTATCCACTGAATGGTTTTCGAATTATCTTCTTATTGCATAACAGTGCAGGGGAAGAATTAGTTATATTATATGGTAACACCATGTACTCATATAGGAATACTGAAATAAATTGTTGTTGTCGATGTTTCTTTTATATTACTGCAGGTTGGGAGTGCCACTTTAGAATCTGGAATTCCAACAGATTGGATGGTAAATGATCACTTTTTGCCCTGTTGGTGATGTTTAGATATGTTTTACATGTGCATGTACAGTTATTGCATCCATGAAAGGATTGCCTGAAGATCAGTTTGAAAGTTTGTTGTTATTCCTGTATTTCTCCCAATATTTCTTTTAGAGGCCTGGAGGATATTCCTCCCAAGACTTCAATAGGCCTGAATTTATTTCATAAAGTGTTTTGTACAGATAAAAAACTGAGGATGAATTGGCCATTGTTTGCTTCTTTTCTTTCAAAGGTCGAATGGTATTAAGAGTTCTAGAATGTGTAAGTCAAGGTAGTAACACTCATATCTGTATGTAATTCCCAAGGGATTAGACATTGGTCCAGAAAGTCTCAAGATATTTGTCCAAGCCGTGGAACGAGCTAAGACAATCGTGTGGAATGGGCAAGTACAATCTACATGTTTTAAAGTACACTAAAAAGAAAATTGGCCGAGCGATAATCTTAAACTGCCACATTGCTTTTTATCGAGTGATGACATAGCTAGAGGGAATGATAGCAGTTTGTTGGGGTCGATGGGTTGTAACCCTTTTTAACCTGGAGAGTGCACAAGTAATCTATACGATTTTAGTTGTGGTGCAGATTATGCAAATGATATGCAAATGATGTCCTTTCATCATCTTTAAACTTTTTGGAGTAATTCCACTGACCAATAAATAAAGCTCCTGAAATCACTGTATTAGTCCAGAGGAGGAATGAATGTCTTCTGATAATGCTTTGCTATTGAAACTAATACCTCAAAATTTTTCACGATGTCATCATGCCACAACAAGACTCTCGTGGCATCAACATCAAGGCATCCCTTCATGTCTGGGAATGGTTAGCTCTTTGATAGGGTGCAATTCCTGTATTTAGCGGCATGTGTGTCGGTGAAAGGTCGATATACAAATACTTGTGTAACTTGCCTTAATTAAATGTCCACCGTGTTTTGAAAAAGAAAAGAAAACTTAATCGTCCTCTCAGTTTAGGATTATATACTTCGTTTGCCACCAAGAGAATGTAAGTTTGGTGAACAAAATAGCTGAAAGAAGGGTTTCGCTGTTTCCTCATGTCTGCATACATGTACGTAGAAGATTTGTAGCATTGTGAATGTTTGGTTTTATTTGATTTCTTTACTCACTAGCTGCAAACCAAAGGTAAAGGAGACTTATCATTGCGAGCTGAACACAAACATTTCCGATTGTATTTCCGGTGATAGTCAGTCATTCTTCATTAGTTATTGATATAAAAGAAAAAGATTCCAAAGTTAAAACGGGCTCTCCATAGTGGTCAAGTTGTGTCTTTGGATCTTTGTAATTTACACAGAATGTGGTATCCTTCCATATGAAGATTACCCCATGGTCATGTAGAAAGTGCAATGAAAACCAGCTTAGCAAAAGTTTCTTATATAATTGTTGCTTACTGGAAAATTAAGTTATTAAGGTTCTTTGACCAGGTTCCCATTTTCTTAAAAATATATATACATTTTTTGTTGGTGGAAGGAAATTGTCTGTTGTCAATATAAAATATGCATATAATGTCTAAATGAGCTGCAATCTAAACAAGTACAAACCCTCTCCAAGTTATTTTATTTGTATTAATGCAGAGGAAACATAAACAAAACAAAGCTAAAATATTTTAGAACACAACAATTATAATTCCTGAATGCCAGATTGCTTGGTCCTGAAGGTACATACAGGACCATACAGGTTTCAACATGAGGGGGTTTTAAAGAAAATCTTTGCCTAACAGGTTCTTAAAAAAATTGGTTCTTATATACTGGTTTTAAATGCAATGTGTAGTCATATATAAGGGGAAGATGTTCATTAAAATAATGTCTTTTTCTTGTGTAGTCTGTACAGTTAGTCCCAATGTTTCACCATTAAAATATACTTTGAGTTGTACTAATATCTTTCAAGTGGTTCTGTTAGTTGCTGGTAATTTGAAAGTGATTTTTGTTTTACCTGGGGAGCCTTTAGGAAGGTGAAAAGGGAAATAGTTCCTTATATTTTAAATAAATACCCCTTTGGAGACTATTGGGTAATTAATTGTGTTCATTGCATGACTTTGTTATGTCAGGTTACAATCTAAGTAAGGATCATGTGCAAGGATCCCAAGTATGTGTGAAAGAATCATAATACATGTTTGTGGTTTGAGTGGAACTAAAAGAAAAGAGATACTTAGCCGATGAATGTTTGTTGGTTTGGAAGTTGACATGAGAAAGATAAGACTGTTGCCATTTATAATTTCTTATATATCTAATGAAGACTTCAGAGAGGGTTACTGTCTTCAATAAAGCTGCTTAAAGTTTTTGTGATTTGTGAACCTGTGGACCTCTCTAGTGATATCCAACAACCCCCACTATTGACTAAAATAAAGAGTTTCCTAACAGATGACGCTTCGTGAAAGTTTATAAATTATTAATAAGAAATAATGAACAGGTTCCTCAATTGAGTATAAGGAATAAATTGGTAGGTAGATATTCAGGCTGGCAAGAATTGGCTTCCTCTGTTCTCTTCACTCAAATAGAGAGCCTGTTCATGCTATGACCCACACAGGATATGTATTACTATCCTTGTAACTTTTCGCTTATTTAAATCCAAAGTTAAAAGGGTCTCTCTTCCCTAGAACTTGCACAATTGAGATTAACTTCCTTGTTGATAATTTTGTTCTTATGAATGATAAAAGAACTACTTTGTGAAAACACAGGAAAAGCATTACATTATACTTCAATAAATGAGTTGTAATAGGTGACTTGATATATTGAAATTAAGGATCAACAGCCTGGTCAACAGATAATAGTTTCCTTGGGGAAGGCAACTAAAGCTTTCCAATTTTCTTTCTTTGGGGTTTTGATGGAGTTGACCTGGCTGGGCAATCATGAGAGTGTAACTGGCCTGGTTAGCACTCAAATTTGTGGAATAATCCATGTCAGCTGTTACACCTAGGAAAAAATAGGTCCGCACTGCATACTTGTGTGTGCATAGCGTCTGTTTTGCTTTTTTGAATTTTACAGGTTGAGGAAATTAAACTGGGATGCCTATTGGAAACAGGTGCCTTTATCGGGATAGAGTGCTGTTAACCTTTCTTTCTCGCTTTTTTTGCCTCCCGCTCCCTACCCCTTCCCCAGTTACGCCTGCAACACTGTTAGTGTGTTTAGGCAATAGATAGTCTGCTTACGTGAGTCCATTAGCGCCACTATTACCTCACTCTGTACCATTGTCGCAGTGTTGCGCCTTTTTTTGACGAGAAATATGTTCAGTTGTGAAAGACCTTTAGAGGAGGGGAGCTTTTTCTACATCAATGAAGGTCTTTGGTTTATTGTATGTAAAATAAAAATATCATGCTACATAAAATCCCTGGGTAGTTCTCAAAATAACATGCAGTAACTATTAATGTACTATAAATTAGACGTTTTGAAGGGAAGGGTGAACCCACAATTCTTATTTATTACCTGTTTTACCCATGAGAGCATGAGATAAGAGAGAGGGGATATTCATTGATTGAATTTGCAAGAGTGGGGCTTGGCAGGAGAAAGGCCAAGCCTTACAAAGAATAATATGCATTTGACCTGGAAATTATCAGACAAGAGTGTTATAGTTTTGTGTGTTGATTGTCATAGTAGGGTTTTGAGTGAGATGTTGTTGACATTGTTAGCTGTCTCTGTTTGTTGCACTGAAGTTGGTAAGATCTTGTAAAGAAAACCAGATCGGCTGAAAGCACAAACGTGAGAGGCATGAATTGACCCTATTCAACCTTCTTAAAGTACCCAACCTTGTCAACACTATCAAACACTTTTCTCCTCCTCCTCCTTCTCCTCAACCTCCTCCTCCGTCTCCTCCTTTTCCTCCTCCTCCTTCTCCTATACCTCCTCCTCCACTTCCTCCTCCTCTTCCTCCTCTTTTTCCTCCTCCACCTCTTTCTCTTCCTCCTCCTTCATGTCCTCCTCCTCTTCCACCTCTTCTTCCTCCTCGTTCTTCTCCTCCACCTCCTCCTCCTTGTCCTTCTCCACCTCCTCCTTTTTCTTCTCATCATCCTCCTCCTCCTCCTTCTCCTCCATTTTTTCCTCCTCCTCTTCCTCTTCCACCTCTTCCTCCTCCTCCATCTCCTCATTCTCTTTCTCCTCCACCTCCTCCTCTTCTGCCTCTTCCTCTTTCTCTTCCTCCTCCTCCACCTCCTCCTCCTTCTCCTCCTCTGCTTCCTCCTCCTCCTCCTCCTTTTCCTCCACCTTCTCCTCCTCCTCCTCTTCCACCTCTTTCTCCTCCACCTCTTCTTCCTCCATCTTCTCCTCCTCTCCTCCTCCTCGTTCACCTCCCCTTCTCCTCCTATTTCTTGTCCACCTCCTCCTCTCCCGCCTCTTCCTTTACCTCGTCCTTCTCCTCCACCCCCTTCTTCTCCTCCTCTACTTCCCCCTTTTCCTGCTCATCCTCCACCTCCTCCTCCTCTTTTCATCCTCCTCCACCTTCTTGTCCTCCTCTTTCACCTCTTCCTTTCCTCGTCCTCCACCTCCTCCTCTTCCTCCTATTCCTCCTCCTTCTCCTCTTCCTCCTCTTCCTCCACCTCCTCCTCCACCTCCTCTTCTTCTTCCTTCTCCTTCACCTCCTCCTCCTTCTCTTCCACCTCCTCTTCTTCTTCCTTCTCCTTCACCTCCTCCTCCTTCTCTTCCACCTCCTCTTCTTCCTTCTCCTCCTCCTCTTCCACCTCTTCTTCTTTCCTCTTCCTCCGCCATCTCCTTCTCCTCCTCCTTCTCCTCCACCTGCTCTTCTTCCTCCTCCTCAAGTCCTTTGTTTTCCCTTTCTTGCATGATTGTACAGTCGAACCTCGATTATCCGGACTCGTCGGGACCTCGGTAAATAGTCTGGATAATCGAAAACATGTTTATTAATGAGATAGAAATGTAAACAAAAGGTATACAGCAAAGAAAACATTTTAATTGTGAAATCTACACAGTTTGCATGTATTTACAAATAAAAACCTTCAGTTCAGGTATTTACAAAGGTCTAAAATGTTCAAGCAAGTTTGTTTGCTTCAAATTAAGACTTGTAGCTTGATCAGGGACTTTCGTTTTAATCCTTCGCTTGTCTCGATGCTGTCAGTAAATTTTAGGATCTTGCCTTTGTTCTTCCGTTTGTCAGAGATCTGCTTGCTTATGCCAAATTCTTGAGCTAAATTTGTTCCTTTCTCTCCTTTATCCAAACGAAATAATTATCTGCTTATCTTTCATCGATAGAACGACTCGCTTTCACTTCATAGACATGTTTTTGATTTGAGTTTACGATCACTCGCTCGTGTGTTTACATAACCCACGCAGAAGGAACTAATCAAGCATGAAATTCCCTTGGTAACAAAACAATTGAGCCAATCATATATCAGCTGAAAGCATCAGACTATTTCTTTGTCTCATCG